TTTTTTGTCTTTAAACAAGTTATTCTAGATCTAAATTTCTAAGTATCTGAATATTATCACACTTTTCTTTTTCTCAAAGTTATGGCTTATGACCATTGAATGCCAATTATGCCACAAATTGTACATGGTTAAGGCTATGGTTGGTAGACAAATAAACTAGTTTATAACGTATTTGGTTAGTTTATAAGTCTTGTTTGGTAGGACGAACTTTTTTAAAAAACTCAAACTTATCTTATAAGCTTCTTCGTGTAGCTTTTCAAATAAGCCTGTTGAAATTTTTATTCACCTGCTCATTAGCTAATTTTACCAAACACTTTTATCATATTGACTAGTTTTTGCAGTGCACCCACATACGGTAATCGTCTTCTTAGGCCACGACAAATTATAGTCATCTTTCCTTTGTCTCTGACAGGGTTCATGTCCTTCTTTGCCGGTGTTTTTGAGCAGGTCAAACAACAGTGGCGACGTGGCACGTGTTATGTGGATGGCATGACGCGTGGCATGAGGTTCGTCACCTAAGCTCCTTGAGAAATTCAGGTTCTTTGAAAATTGATGTAAAGTCGACGGCAGGAGCAGCTGCGCATGATTATTCCATTGCCTGCGGCTGATAGGGGTGTTCACGGTCCGGATTGGTCCGATTTTAGCCCAAACCATGACCAAATCGGACCTAACGTGATATAGGATATTATCTACGCAAGGCTAAACCGATCTATTTAGCCAGTCGAGAAGATCAAACCAGGAAGAAGCCAAGCCAAGAGGCGGGAGAATCGATCATTCAGATAGTCGACCAGGCAGGTAGTCGGCCAATCCATCGCTGGGCCAGATAAGCGATCGAGCAACCTATTCGACCTCATCAGGTCGATTGCTTTGACGACCCAACAGTCGGCCTAGTCACAGGCGCGTGCAGGAACCTCTAACCGAATCTCAGGAGAATATTTACCCCATGTGCAGGGGACACGTGTCGAGAATGCATTGGTGGATATCGATAACCACCTCTGACAGCTCCCCAACGCCCCCGCGCAACCTCTGACATGCGCGCGGTGTGTCAGAGTACGGACGGGCAGCCAGCTCCCCTTATCCGGGCAACTATTAGGGCAAGTATGTCACCCCAATATAAAAGGGGTGAGCCTTTCTCCCTTAGGAAATTCTATTCATTTCTCATTTTCAGTATACTCATATACATACTGACTTAAGTATCGGAGGCTCTTCACCAGACACAATCCCCGGTGTGAGAGTTACTTGCAGGTTTCTGGCATTCTACCGGCGAGGACAAAGATCGATCTGTTCCAAACCGGACCAGGACGCTCATGCCTGCATTATTGGCACCGTCTATGGGGACATTCTTGTTCGAAAGGTTGTGTTTGACGCTCAGCTATGGCAGACGGAATTCCCAGAACTAACTTGCAGTCGATGTTCGACGACGCTTGGACGACGACCAGGCCGATAGGACAAGACCCTCTTCCGGGTTTCTCTGGCCCTTCGCAAACGCCGGTCACTCCTACACCCGTCCTTCAGGGTGTGGGAGCGTCGACGGCGGTCCCCGGAGGAGACGCCGGATCCAGTCGCGCCCAAGAAGCTCGCGCAGCAGCCGCAGCAGCGATGCCACCACCGCCGCCACCAAATCCGGCACTGGTGCAAGGAGGAGCGATGGCGCAAGGAGGAGCGCCACCACAGGCAGTTGTACAAGCTCCCGGTCAGCAAATGATGACGATGACCCGGGAGGAGATGCAGAGGATAGCGGCGGCTGCGACGGCGCAGGCGGTGCAGCAGGTTACGAGCCACATATCTCATGCCACCACTGCGCCGACCACGGTGGCCGGAAACCAAGATGAGGATGTGTCCAGTTATGGAGAGGGAGGAGTTAGAAGAGATCGGGCGATGGAAAGGATGGCGGAGCAGTTGCGCCAGTTACAGGACAAGGCAGAGGGGAGGCCGGAGAGGAGAGCTCGAGGACATCCTTTCTCGAGGGAGATTCTCGCTGCTCCTTTGCCGAATAATTTCAAGGAGACCAACTTGGTCTATGATGGGTCGTCTGACCCGTCGAGGCATGTGAGGACCTTTGAAAATATGGATGTGTTACATGGATATTCTGATTCTGTTTGTTGCAGGGCGTTTCTATCGACCTTGCGTGGGGGAGAACTTGACTGGTTTCATCAGTTACTCTCAGGGTCGATTGCGGATTTTGAGGATTTTTCCTGCAAGCTTACCAATCAATATTCGAGCGCGGTGGCACAAGAGAAAACATATTTGACTTTGATGTCAATGAGACAGGGGGAGAAGGAGTCGTTGAGGAAGTATGTTGCTCGATATAATCAGACGTGTTTGGAGGTGCACTCTGCCTCAGATGAGGTGAAGGCGGGAGGATTGATAAGAAGTCTTCGAGCAGGGCCTTGCCGAACTTCCCTGGCAAAGACCCCTGCTCGATCATACGAGGATGTCTTGAAGCGTTGCAGGAAGTATATTAATTTGGAGGAAATATAAATAGAGTTCGCAAAGTTGAAAAGAGCTACTCGACCAGACCCGAAGAAAGAAAAGAGCCCACAAAGGGGGAGATCGCCCAGGAGAAGTTCGCCCAAGAGGAGTGGGCCGAAAAGGGCATCGCCAAGAA